CCACTCACTCACTCATCCACCCACCCACCCTCTCACCTACCCACCCACCCACCCACTCACTCATTCACTCACCCACCCACCCACTCACTCACCCACCCACTCACCCACCCACCCTCTCACCCACTCACTCACCCACTCACTCACTCATCCACCCACCCACCCTCTCACCCACCCACTCACCCACTCACTCACTCACTCACCCACTCACCACTCACCCACCCACTCACACACCCACCCACTCACTCACCCAGCCACACACTCAACCACCCACTCACCCACCCACTCACCCACTCACTCACCCACTCACCCACTCACTCACCCCCCCTCTCGCTCATCCACCCACTCACCCACCCACTCACTCACCCACTCACTCACTCACTTACTCACTCACCCACTCACTCACCCCCTCACTCACCCACCCACTCACCCACCCACTCACCCACCCACTCACCCACCCACTCACTCACCCACTCACCCACTCACTCACCCACCCACTCACTCACCCACTCACCCACCCACCCACTCACCCACCCACTCAACCACCCACTCACCCACCCACTCACCCACTCACCCACCCACTCACCACTCACCCACTCACCTACTCACTCACCCACTCACCCACCCACTCACCCACCCACTCACCCACCCACTCACCCACTCACCTACCCACTCACCACTCACCCACTCACCCACCCACTCACCCACTCACCCACTCACCCACCCACTCACCCACCCACTCACCCACTCACCCACCCACTCACCACTCACCCACTCACCTACTCACTCACCCACTCACCCACCCACTCACCCACCCACTCACCCACCCACTCACCCACTCACCCACCCACTCACCACTCACCCACTCACCCACCCACTCACCCACACACCCACCCACTCACCACCCACTCACCCACTCACTCACTCACCCACCCACTCACCCACCCACTCACCCACCCACTCACCCACTCACCCACTCACCCACCCACTCACCCACCCACTCACCCACTCACTCACCCACTCACCACTCACCCACTCACCCACTCACCCACCCACTCACCCACCCACTCACCCACTCACCCACCCACTCACCACTCACCCACTCACCTACTCACTCACCCACTCACCCACCCACTCACCCACCCACTCACCCACCCACCCACCCACTCACTCACCCACTCACTCATTCACTCACCCACCCACCCACTCACACACCCACCCACTCACCCACCCACCCTCTCACCCACTCACTCACCCACTCACTCACTCATCCACCCACCCACCCTCTCACCTACCCACCCACCCACTCACTCATTCACTCACCCACCCACCCACTCACTCACCCACCCACTCACCCACCCACCCTCTCACCCACTCACTCACCCACTCACTCACTCATCCACCCACCCACCCTCTCACCCACCCACCCACCCACTCACTCACCCACTCACCCACTCACCACTCACCCACCCACTCACACACCCACCCACTCACTCACCCAGCCACACACTCAACCACCCACTCACCCACCCACTCACCCACTCACTCACCCACTCACCCACTCACTCACCCCCCCTCTCGCCCATCCACCCACTCACCCACCCACTCACTCACCCACTCACTCACTCACTTACTCACTCACCCACTCACTCACCCCCTCACTCACCCACCCACTCACCCACCCACTCACCCACCCACTCACCCACCCACTCACTCACCCACTCACCCACTCACTCACCCACCCACTCACTCACCCACTCACCCACCCACCCACCCACTCACCCACCCACTCACCCACCCACTCAACCACCCACTCACCCACCCACTCACCCACTCACCCACCCACTCACCACTCACCCACTCACCTACTCACTCACCCACTCACCCACCCACTCACCCACCCACTCACCCACCCACTCACCCACTCACCCACCCACTCACCACTCACCCACTCACCCACCCACTCACCCACTCACTCACCCACTCACCCACCCACTCACCCACTCACCCACTCACTCACCACTCACCCACTCACCCACTCACCCACTCACTCACCCACCCACTCACCCACCCACTCACCCACTCACCCACCCACTCACCACTCACCCACTCACCCACCCACTCACCCACACACTCACCCACTCACCACCCACTCACCCACTCACTCACTCACCCACCCACTCACCCACCCACTCACCCACCCACTCACCCACTCACCCACTCACCCACCCACTCACCCACCCACTCACCCACTCACCCACCCACTCACCACTCACCCACTCACCCACTCACCCACCCACTCACCCACCCACTCACCCACTCACCCACCCACTCACCACTCACCCACTCACCTACTCACTCACCCACTCACCCACCCACTCACCCACCCACTCACCCACCCACTCACCCACTCACCCACCCACTCACCACTCACCCACTCACCCACCCACTCACCCACTCACCCACCCACTCACCCACTCACCCACCCACTCACCCACCCACTCACCCACCCACTCACCCACCCACTCACCCACACACTCACCCACTCACCACCCACTCACCCACTCACTCACTCACCCACCCACTCACCCACCCACTCACCACTCACCCACTCACCCACCCACCCACTCACCCACCCACTTAACCACCCACTCACCCACCCACTCACCCACTCACCCACTCACTCACCCACTCACTCACCCACTCACCCACCCACTCACCCACCCACTCACCCACCCACTCACCCACCCACTCACCCACCCACTCAACCACCCACTCACCCACCCACTCACCCACCCACTCACCCACTCACTCACCCACTCACCCACCCACTCACCCACCCACTCACCCACTCACCCACTCACTCACCCACTCACTCACCCACTCACCCACCCACTCATCCACCCACCCACCCTCTCACCCACCCACCCACCCACTCACTCACCCACTCACCCACTCACCACTCACCCACCCACTCACACACCCACCCACTCACTCACCCAGCCACACACTCAACCACCCACTCACCCACCCACTCACCCACTCACTCACCCACTCACCCACTCACTCACCCCCCCTCTCGCCCATCCACCCACTCACCCACCCACTCACTCACCCACTCACTCACTCACTTACTCACTCACCCACTCACTCACCCCCTCACTCACCCACCCACTCACCCACCCACTCACCCACCCACTCACCCACCCACTCACTCACCCACTCACCCACTCACTCACCCACCCACTCACTCACCCACTCACCCACCCACCCACCCACTCACCCACCCACTCACCCACCCACTCAACCACCCACTCACCCACCCACTCACCCACTCACCCACCCACTCACCACTCACCCACTCACCTACTCACTCACCCACTCACCCACCCACTCACCCACCCACTCACCCACCCACTCACCCACTCACCCACCCACTCACCACTCACCCACTCACCCACCCACTCACCCACTCACCCACCCACTCACCCACCCACTCACCCACTCACCCACTCACTCACCACTCACCCACTCACCCACTCACCCACCCACTCACCCACCCACTCACCCACCCACTCACCCACTCACCCACCCACTCACCACTCACCCACTCACCCACCCACTCACCCACACACTCACCCACTCACCACCCACTCACCCACTCACTCACTCACCCACCCACTCACCTACCCACTCACCCACCCACTCACCCACTCACCCACTCACACACTCACCCACTCACCCACCCACTCACCCACTCACCCACCCACTCACCACTCACCCACTCACCCACTCACCACCCACTCACCCACCCACTCACCCACTCACCCACGCACTCACCACTCACCCACTCACCTACTCACTCACCCACTCACCCACCCACTCACCCACCCACTCACCCACCCACTCACCCACTCACCCACCCACTCACCACTCACCCACTCACCCACCCACTCACCCACTCACCCACCCACTCACCCACTCACCCACCCACTCACACACCCACTCACCCACCCACTCACCCACCCACTCACCCACACACTCACCCACTCACCACCCACTCACCCACTCACTCACTCACCCACCCACTCACCCACCCACTCACCACTCACCCACTCACCCACCCACCCACTCACCCACCCACTTAACCACCCACTCACCCACCCACTCACCCACTCACCCACTCACTCACCCACTCACTCACCCACTCACCCACCCACTCACCCACCCACTCACCCACCCACTCACCCACCCACTCACCCACCCACTCAACCACCCACTCACCCACCCACTCACCCACCCACTCACCCACTCACTCACCCACTCACCCACCCACTCACCCACTCACTCACCCACTCACCCACTCACCCACCCATTCACTCACCCACTCACTCACCCACTCACCCACCCACTCACCCACCCACTCACCCACCCACTCACCACTCACCCACTCACCCACTCACTCACCCACTCACCCACCCACTCACCCACCCACTCACTCACTCACCCACCCACTCACCCACCCACTCACCACTCACCCACTCACCCACCCACCCACTCACCCACCCACTTAACCACCCACTCACCCACCCACTCACCCACTCACCCACTCACTCACCCACTCACCACCCACTCACCACTCACCCACTCACCCTGCCACCCCCCCAGGCCTCCGTCAGGAAGCGGTGTCCTCGGTGAGGAGGAGGAGGAGGAGCTCCGCCCCTCAGCGCTCCTCCTCCACCCCCTCGCTGCCTGGCTCCTCCCCCTCTCTGCCCGGCTCCTCCTCCTCGCTGCCCGGCTCCACCCCCTCGCTGCCCGGCTCCACCCCCTCGCTGCCCGGCTCCTCCCCCTCGCTGCCCGGCTCCACCCCCTCGCTGCCCGGCTCCACCCCCTCGCTGCCTGGCTCCTCCCCCTCGCTGCCTGGCTCCACCCCCTCGCTGCCTGGCTCCACCCCCTCGCTGCCCGGCTACCACCAAGACCACCACCAAGACCACCACCACCACGATCACCACGATCACCACAATCACCACGATCACCACGATCACCACGACGAGGAGGAGGAGGAGGAGGTGGTGGTGGTGGTGGGCGGCTGGACGAGGAGGAGCAGCAGGAACAGGCCACAGGATTGTGGTCACTCTGGGCGTGGGAGCGTCAGGTGAGGTGGGGGGCGAGGTGGGGGGCGAAGTGGGGGGGGTGAGGTGGGGGGGGGGGTGAGGTGGGGGGGGGGCGAGGTGGGGGGTGTTGGTGGTGGCCGTGAACGGGAATTGAACTCGGCTCTCTGACGGGTGCAGAGAGCAGAAATTCACTAAACCACTCACACACTGACTCACCACTCACTCACCACTCACTCACCACTCACTCACCACTCACTCACCCACTCACCACTCACTCACCACTCACTCACCACTCACTCACCCACTCACCACTCACTCACCACTCACTCACACACTGACTCACTCACTCACCACTCACTCACCCACTCACTCACCACTCACTCACCACTCACTCACTCACTCACCACTCACTCACCACTCACTCACCCACTCACCACTCACTCACCACTCACTCACACACTGACTCACTCACTCACCACTCACTCACCCACTCACTCACCACTCACTCACCACTCACTCACTCACTGACTCACCACTCACCACTCACCACTCACTCACTCACCACTCACCACTCACTCACTCACTCACTGACTCACTCACTCACCACTCACTCACCACTCACTCACTCACTGACTCACTCACTCACCACTCACTCACCACTCACCACTCACTCACTCACCACTCACTCACCACTCACTCACTCACCACTCACTCACTCACTCACCACTCACTCACCACTCACTCACCACTCACTCACTCACCACTCACTCACTGACTCACTCACTCACTGACTCACCCACTCACTCACCACTCACTCACCACTCACTCACTCACCACTCACTCACTCACCACTCACTCACCACTCACTCACCACTCACTCACTGACTCACTCACTCACTGACTCACCCACTCACTCACCACTCACTCACTCACTGACTCACCACTCACTCACTCACTCACCCACTCACTCACCCACTCACCCACTCACCCACTCACTCACCCACTTACTCACCCACTCACTCACTCACCTACTCACTCACCACTCACTCACTCACTGACTCACCACTCACTCACTGACTCACTGACTCACTCACTCACTGACTCACCACTCACTCACTCACCACTCACTCATTCACTCACTGACTCACTCACTCACTGACTCACTCACTGACTCATCACTCACTCACCACTCACTCACTCACTGACTCACTCACTCACTGACTCACCACTCACTCACCACTCACTCACTCACTCACCACTCACTCACTCACTGACTCACTCACTCACTGACTCACCACTCACTCACCACTCACTCACTCACTGACTCACCACTCACTCACCACTCACTCACTCACTGACTCACCACTCACTCACTGACTCACCACTCACTCACTGACTCACCACTCACTCACCACTCACTCACTCACTGACTCACCACTCACTCACTCACCACTCACTCACTCACTCACTGACTCACCACTCACTCACTCACTCACCACTCACTCACTCAGTCACCCACTCACTCACTGACTCACTCACCACTCACTCACCCACTCACCACTCACCCACTCACTCAGTCACTCAGTCACTCACTCACTCACTCACCCACTCACTCACTCACCCACTCACCCACTCACTCACTCACTCACCCACTCACTCACTCACCCACTCACTCACCCACTCACCCACTCACTCACTCACCCACTCACTCACCCACTCACTCACTCACTCACCCACTCACCCACTCACTCACTCACTCACCCACTCACTCACCCACTTACTCACCCACTCACTCACTCACCCACTCACCCACTCACCCACTCACTCACTCACTGACTCACCACTCACTCACCACTCACTCACTCACTGACTCACCACTCACTCACCACTCACTCACTCAGTCACCCACTCACTCACTGACTCACTCACCACTCACTCACCCACTCACCACTCACCCACCCACTCACTCACCCACTCACTCACACACTCAGTCACCCATTCACTCACTCACTCACCCAGTCACTCACTCACCCACCCACTCACTCACCACTCACTCACTCACTGACTCACCACTCACTCACTCACCACTCACTCACTCACTGACTCACCACTCACTCACTGACTCACCACTCACTCACTGACTCACCACTCACTCACTGACTCACTCACTCACCACTCACTCACTCACTTACTCACCACTCACTCACTCACTCACCACTCACTCACTCAGTCACCCACTCACTCACTGACTCACTCACCACTCACTCACCCACTCACCACTCACCCACTCACTCACTCAGTCACTCACTCACTCACCCACTCACTCACTCACTCACCCACTCACCCAGTCACTCACTCACTCACTCACCCACTCAGTCACTCACTCACCCAGTCACTCACTCACTCACTCACCCAGTCACTCACTCACCCACCCACTCACTCACCCACCTACTCACTCACCCACCCACTCATTCACCCACCCACTCACTCACTCACCCATTCACTCACCCACTCACTCACCCACTCACTCACTCACCCACTCACTCACTCACCCACTCACTCACTCACCCACTCACTCACTCACTCACACCCACTCACTCACTCATACATTCACTCACTCACTCATACACTCACTCACTCACCCCCCCACTCACTCACGCACTCACTGACTCACCCACTCACTCACTCACCACTCACTCACCCACTCACTCACCCACTCACCCACTCACTCACCCACTCACTCACTCACCCACTCACTCACTCACCCACCCACCCACCCACTCAGCCACTCACTCACCCACTCACTCACCCACTCACTCACTCACTCATCCACCCACCCACTCATTCACCCACTCACTCACTCACTCATCTACTCACTCACCCACCCACCCACTCAATCACCCACCTGCCCACCCACTCACCCACCCACCCACTCACTCACCCACTCACCCACTCACCCACCCACCCACTCACTCACTCACCCACTCACCCACCCACCCACTCACTCACTCACCCACTCACTCACCCACTCACTCACTCACCCACTCACCCACTCACTCACACACTCACCCACCCACCCACCCTTGCCCCTGCTGCTGTTCGAGGCTACCTGGGGAGCTGCAGCTGCTGTGCCTGTGTGTGTGTGTGCTGAGCGTCGCAGGATTGGTGACGGGTCCACGACTCGCTCTCTCAGCGGAGACCAGCCTGGACTGACCCGGCACAACCAGCACACGGCCACGGGTACAGAGACCCATAGACACCCATAGAGACCCATAGACACCCATAGAGACACATAGAGATACATAGAGACCCATAGACACTCATAGAGACCCACAGACACCCATAGAGACCCATAGACACCCATAGAGACCCATAGAGATACATAGACACCCATAGACACCCATAGAGACCCATAGAGATACATAGAGATACATAGAGACCCATAGACCCTCATAGAGACCCATAGACACCCATAGAGACCCATAGACACCCATAGAGACCCATAGAGATACATAGAGATACATAGAGATACATAGAGACCCATAGACACTCATAGAGACCCACAGACACCCATAGAGACCCATAGACACCCATAGAGACACATAGAGATACATAGAGACCCATAGACACTCATAGAGACACTCATAGAGACACATAGACACTCATAGACACTCATAGAGACCCATAGAGACCTATAGAGACCCACAGACACCCATAGAGACCCATAGAGATACATAGACACCCATAGAGACCCATAGAGACCCATAGACACTTATAGAGACCCATAGACACCCATAGACACCCATAGAGACCCATAGACACCCATAGAGACCCATAGACACCCATAGAGACCCATAGACAATCATAGAGACCCATAGACACCCATAGAGACCCATAGACACCCATAGACACCCATAGAGACCCATAGAGACCCATAGACACCCATAGAGACCCATAGACACTCATAGAGACCCATAGAGATACATAGACACCCATAGAGACATAGACACTCATAGACACTCATAGAGACCCATAGAGATACATAGACACCCATAGAGACCCATAGACACTCATAGAGACCCATAGAGACCTATAGAGACCCACAGACACCCATAGAGACCCATAGAGATACATAGACACCCATAGAGACCCAAAGAGACCCATAGACACTTATAGAGACCCATAGACACCCATAGACACCCATAGAGATACATAGACACTCATAGGCACCTATAGAGATACATAGAGATACAAAGAGACCCATAGACACCCATAGAGATACATAGACACCCAGAGAGACCCATAGACACTCATAGAGATACATAGAGATACATAGAAACCCATAGACACCCACAGACACCCATAGAGATACATAGACACCCATAGAGACCCATAGACACTCATAGAGATCCATAGACACCTATAGACACCCATAGAGACCCGTAGACACCTATAGAGATACATAGAGATACATAGAGACCCATAGACACCCACAGACACCCTTAGAGATACATAGACACCCATAGATACCCATAGACACCCATAGAGACCCATAGACACTCATAGAGACCCATAGACACCCATAGAGACCCATAGACATCCATAGACACTCATAGAGACCCATAGAGACCCATAGACACCCATAGACACCCATAGAGACCCATAGACACCCATAGAGATACATAGACACTCATAGACACATAGACACTCACAGAGACCCATAGACACTTATAGAGACTCATAGACACTCATAGACACATAGACACTCATAGAGACCCATAGACACCCATACAGACCCATCAACAACAACAACCGCCATTCGCCACTAAGTGGCGGTGACGTCACCACGACGCTTGTGCCAGGCTATGTGCACCCTGAGGCCACGTGAAGTGTCGAACGCCCGCTGGCAGGAGGTCACGGGGCAGACCCAGGTGCCACGGGTCGACTGACTGAGATGACTGGCTGATGCACCACCTGTGCCCCCTACTGTGCCAACCTGCTGTGCTTTAGCCACCCGGCGCTCCGCTCGTTGTTGTGAGCGTCGCTCCTCCGTCCTCCGTTGTTGTTGGAGGGCGACTGCCTCCAACTGCCCAGTAGCATCCTTCACGAGCCTCCTCCACAGAGTCCGATCTTGACACCGCTGGTACCAGTCATCGGCAAGTCCACTCAGCTCCACGTCCTCCTGTACCACATCACTCCATCTCTTCTCTAGCCCGTGCCGCGCCCACTTAGCCCCCTCAATCCGGCCAAACAAAAGCTGTTTCGGCATGCGGTGGCTGGGCATGCGGGCTACATGACCCAGCCATCGCAGCCTTGCCTGCCGGAGGAGCTCACCGATGGGACCCTGCCCAGATCTTTCAAGGATTTGTGAGCTCCTCACACAATCCAGTCTGGTTAAACCCAGGATGGATCGTAGGCAGGCCAGCCTAAATGTTTCTAACCGGCGAAGATGTTCCATTAGGGGGGTCCACGTTTCGCAAGCGTAGAGAAGGGAGGGAATGACCGTGGCCGAGAAGACCTGAAGCTTAGTGCGGAGCGACAGACCAGGTAGCTTCCACACAGCGTTACGCAACCGATGAAAAGATATTGCCGCTCGACTGATTCGGAGTGAGACCTCTGCTGTTAAACTGGAGCCAGTCATAAGCACACTGCCCAGGTATGGGAAACTCTCCACTCTCTCCACAACTGCCCCATCACCGATTGGGAGTTGTGGGGGTTGAGTGTCCGATGGTACAAAATACCCAGGCAGGTGCTTAGTTTTGGTGGGGCTGATGGTAAGGCCCCACCTCTTAGTGGCACACTCCAGTCTCAGCAGCAGCGTCTCCAACTCCTCCTCTGACTGAGCAGCTATTACCAAGTCATCAGCATACATAACGTGGTTGAGCAATAGGGAGCCATCCCTTGACCGCACCCGGGCATCGATTAGCCTCCCATTATATCTGTACCATATGGAGATTCCCCCGGTACAGCTATTGAAGGCTTCACGAACTACGTGGTCAAAATAGATGTTAAATAATGTGGGAGCCAGAGGACATCCCTGTCGCACCCCAAGGTGTACAGGGAATGGCTCTGACTCCCGGCCACGTAGTTTTACCCGGGCCCGCTCACCATCATGAAGGTCCTTAATGATCGTGAGCAGAGGGTCAGGTACTCCAAAAGCACGAAGAACGACCCAGAGCCCAGGCCTACTGATGGTATCATAGGCCTTGACCAGGTCAATAAAGCAGAGATGTAGGTCTTGTTGGAATTCCCTACACCTCTGCTGTAGCAGACGGACAGAAAATATGGCATCTGTGCAGGACCGCCCTTTCCTGAAACCGCATTGGGGCTCCGCAAGCCTCTCCTCAGCGTGCCTGGCAAGGCGATGCTGAATAATCCTTGCCAGGACCTTTCCCGGCACACTGAGGAGTGAGATGCCCCTGTAGTTGTTACAGTCTGTGCGGTCCCCCTTCTTAAAAAGGGGGACCACCAGGGCATCCTTCCAATCCTGCGGAACCCGTCCAGTGGTCCAGACTGTTGTTATGATGTCATATAGGGCAGTCTGTGCACAAACGCCACCCTCCCTCAGCATTTCGCTTGGGAGATCATCTCTGCCCGCTGCCTTTCCTGGTCTCAGACTCCGGATCGCCTTCAATACTTCCTCAGCAGATGGCACCTCAGCCAGCCACTCACAAGGGGTAACTTCATCCAATATTTGAGGCACCGCAGCCTCAGCAGGGTCATCCTCACTTTGTGCCACGATGTTTTCCTGGATGAGGGATTTTCCCTCCCCCAGGACCTCACAGAAATGCTCAGCAAATCTGCGAACCTGTTCCTGGGGGTCGGAAATTGGATCACCGTTTTTTCCCCTAATGATGGTAATAGGTGTGGCGCTGCAGGTTACTTTTTTGATGGAGTTAAATAGAGATTTGTGATCACGGGCCACTGAGGCAGACTCCATCTCCTCAGCAACCCGCGACCACCACCCATCCTTGCAGCGCCTCACGGCTCTCCGAACCTCCGAGCGAAGGCTGCGGTAAGCCTCCTCATTCTCTGACGTGGGATTCTGTAGCCGATGACAGTGGGCCTGTCGCTTTTTCTCAACCATCGTGGACAACTCCTCTGTCATCCAGGGTGTCTGGGGAGGTCTGGACCGCGTACCCAAAGCAGCCATTGCAGCTGCATGAGTCACAGTCCTAAACCTCGCCCATTTACCCTCGACATCAGGAGGAGTCGGGGACGATGCCAATCCCAGCCGCAAGCGATGATGAAATTCTCGCTTGCAACTTTCATCAGATAACTGAGACCAGGCCACTTTAGGTTGGAATGGGGTCCTGGGTGTACACCCACCACCGGAGTGGAAGAATGGCAGGCGCATCTTACAGATGACTAGTCGATGGTCAGAGGGTAGATCAGCTCCACGGTAGGTCCTGGTGTCAAGGACATGGGCTCGCATTCGCTGGTCCGTCACTATGTAGTCCAGCAGATGTTCTTGCTTGGACCCGGCATGCATCCATGATGTTGTGTGGATGCGCCGATGCCGGAACAGCGTGTTGGTAATTACAAGCCCATGGGCTGCACAAAAATCTAGCAGCCTCCTACCGTTGTTATTGAGCTGATCTGGCCCATGCCCTCCAATCACTCCAGACCAGGTGCCGGTATCATGACCAACTCGGGCATTGAAGTCACCCAACATGATGACTCTATCCCGAGGGGCCACTTTAGCCAGCACCTGTGACAGGAGGTCATAGAAGGCATCTGACTCATCGGCTTTGCCTGCATCCCTCCACGGATGTTCATCTTCGGTGGGGGCATAAGTAACCACGACCACCATTCCTCGCCTCCGGTTGATGGGAAGGCGAGCCCAAAGTAGCCTGGGGCTTACAGCTTCCCACACCTCACCGCCACGCTCCCACGCCCCCTTCATTCTTTTGTTCACCCTGTTGTTTGGCAGTCTGCTGCCCCGAGTAGAGGACTGTCCACCCCTCATGGTGGCAGGAGCCAGAGCCGGTCCACCGGACCTCCTGAATGCCGCATAGATCCAGGCGGTACCGGTCCAGCTCCCGACAGAGGAGTGGCAGCCTCTCCTCTGCAGTGAGCGTTCGAACATTCCACGTGGCCAACCGTAGTGGCTTTTCGTTGTTTCTGGAGTAGCCCCGAGGGTAGGTATTCAATCTCCTGGCTCCGCCAATTGGGGTTTGGCCAGGAGACGTCATAGACGCCTGGCCCCCCGGGGCCTCCGGCACAAGCTTAGTTGTTACATATTTCAGTTTAATTCGTAGTTTCGTGGTAATTAATTGAAGGTGGAGGGGTTACCAGCCCCTCGCACCCGTCCAGAGCCCCCGTTTAGCCCCTGTGGTGGACACATATGCCATGAGGGGAGGAGCCAATCAAAATTGGATCTCCCCCCACAGCGCTGTCCACGACAGAGTTGCCCGTCCGGCACCGCGAGGAGGTAGGGGGTTGTTTTGCCAGACCCATAGACACTCATAGACACCCATACAGACCCATAGACACTCATAAAGACGCATAGACACCCATAGAGATACATAGAGAACCATAGAGATACATAGACACTCATCGAGACCCATAGACAACCATAGACACCCATAGACACTCATAGATACAGAAAGACACACAGAGAGACACAGAGAGAGAGACACCGAGAGAGAAACTGAGAGACACAGAGACACAACGAGAGAGACACAGAGAGAGACACTGAGATAGAGACACAGAGAGACACACAGAGAGAGACACCGAGAGAGAAACACAGAGAGACACACAGAGAGAGACACAGAGAGACACACAGAGAGAGACACAGAGAGAGACACACAGAGAGAGACAGAGAGAGAGAGACAGAGAGAGACACACAGAGAGACAGAGAGACACATAGAGAGACAGAGAGACAGAGAGAGAGACACAGAGAGACACAGAGAGAGAGACACCAAGAGAGACACACACAGAGACACAGAGAGAGACACACAGAGAGAGACACCGAGAGAGACACACACAGACACACAGAGAGAGAGACACACACAGAGACACCGAGAGAGACACACACAGAGACACACAGAGAGACAGAGAGAGACACCGAGAGAGACACACAGAGAAACACACAGAGACACACGGAGAGAGACACAGAGAGAGACACAGAGAGAGACACACAGAGAGACACCGAGAGAGACACAGAGAGACACAGAGAGACACAGAGAGAGACAGAGAGACACAGAGAGAGAGACACAGAGAGAGACACAGAGACACATAGAGAGACACACAGAGAGACATAGAGAGAGAGAGACACAGAGAGAGACACACAGAGAAACAGAGAGAGAGACACAGAGAGACACACAGAGAGAGAGACACAGAGAGAGAGACACACACAGAGACACACAGAGAGAGACACAGAGAGAGACACACAGAGAGAGAGACACACACAGAGAGAGACACAGAGAGAGAGACACAGAGACACAGAGAGACACAGAGAGAGACACACAGAGAGAAACACAGAGACACACAGAGAGAGACACAGAGAGAGAGACACAGAGAGACACAGAGAGAGACAGAGAGAGACACAGAGAGAAACACAGAGAGAGACACAGAGAGAGAGACACAGAGAGACACAGAGAGAGACAGAGAGAGACACAGAGACACAGACAGAGAGACACAGAGAGAGACACAGAGACACACAGAGACACAGGGAGAGACACAGAGAGAGACACAGAGAGAGACAGAGAGAGACACAGAGAGAGACACAGAGAGAGACAGAGAGAGAGACAGAGAGACACAGATAGAGAGATACAGAGATACACAGAGAGATACACAGAGAGACACAGAGAGAGACACAGAGAGAGACACAGAGACACAGAGACACAGATAGAGAGACACAGAGATACACGGAGATACACAGAGAGACACAGAGAGATACACACAGAGAGAGACACAGAGAGAGGGACACAGACTCCACATATACAGCAGCAGGCATTGTCAGGGTCTGAGATTGAACCCACGACCTCCTGTGTACTAGGGGAGGTAGTCAACATCTCCCAGTGTCTGGGATTGAACCCACGACCTCCTGTGTACCAGGCGAGGTAGTCAACATCTCTCAGTGTCTGGGTTTGAATCCACGACCTCCTGTGTACCAGACGAGGTAGTCAATATCTCTCAGTGTCTAGGATTGAACCCACGACCTCCTGTGTACCAGGCGAGGTAGTCAACATCTCTCAGTGTCTGGAATTGAACCCACGACCTCCTGTGTACCAGGCGAGGTAGTCAACATCTCTCAGTGTCTGGGATTGAACCTACGACCTCCTGTGTACCAGGCGAGGTAGTCAACATCTCTCAGTGTCTGGGATTGAACCCACGACCTCCTGTGTACCAGGCGAGGTAGTCAACATCTCTCAGTGTCTGGAATTGAACCCACGACCTCCTGTGTACCAGGCGAGGTAGTCAACATCTCTCAGTGTCTGGGATTGAACCTACGACCTCCTGTGTACCAGGCGAGGTAGTCAACATCTCTCAGTGTCTGGGATCGAACCCACGACCGCCTGCGTACCAGGCGAGGTAGTCAACATCTCTCAGTGTCTGGGATCGAACCCACGACCTCCTGTGTACCAGGCGAGGTAGTCAACATCTCTCAGGGTCGGGGTTGAACCCACGACCTCCTGTGTACCAGGCGAGGTAGTCAACATCTCTCAGTGTCTCGGATTGAACCCACGACCTCCTGTGTACCAGGCGAGGTCATCAACGTCTCTCAGTGTCTGGGGTTGAACCCACGACCTCCTGTGTACCAGGCGAGGTCGTCAACATCTCTCAGTGTCTAGGATTGAACCCACGACCTCCTGTGTACCAGGCGAGGTAGTCAACATCTCCTAGGCACCTTGGGACCCCTTGGCCCGAGAACCGCACGTGAGCTACCTAGGGGAGCTTTGCCTTTGCCTGGTCTCTCCCCTCCCCCGTAGCTCCGTCCCTCAGGAGGAGCATCCAAGATCTCTCCCATCACTCCGCCCCAGTGCATTCTGGGAAACGCATGGGGGTCGGCACCAGGGGTGGGGGCATGGGGGTGACGTCATCACGGCAGTCACCGGGTGAGACGAACACTCACCCAGTCACTCACCCAGTCACTCACTCACTCACACAGTCACTCACCCACTCACTAACTCACTCACTCACTCACCCAGTCACTCACCCAGTCACTCACCCAGTCACTCACTCACTCACCCAGTCACTCACCCAGTCACTCACCCAGTCACTCACCCAGTCACTCACTCACTCACTCACCCAATCACTCACCCAGTCACTCACCCAGTCACTCACTCACTCACTCACCCAGTCACTCACCCAGTCACTCACCCAGTCACTCACCCACTCACTCACCCAGTCACTCACTCACTCACTCACCCAGTCACTCACTCACCCAATCACTCACCCAGTCACTCACCCAGTCACTCACTCACTCACTCACCCAGTCACTCACCCACTCACTCACTCACTCACCCAGTCACTCACCCAGTCACTCACCCACTCACTCACCCAGTCACTCACTCACTCACCCAGTCACTCACCCAGTCACTCACCCAGTCACTCACTCACTCACTCACCCAGTCACTCACCCAGTCACTCACCCAGTCACTCACCCACTCACTCACTCACTCACCCAGTCACTCACCCAGTCACTCACCCACTCACTCACTCACTCACCCAGTCACTCACCCACTCACTCACCCAGTCACTCACCCAGTCACTCACTCACTCACTCACCCAGTCACTCACCCAGTCACTCACCCAGTCACTCACTCACTCACCCAGTCACTCACCCAGTCACTCACCCAGTCACTCACTCAGTCACTCACTCACCCAGTCACTCACCCAGTCACTCACTCACTCACTCACTCACCCACTCACCCAGTCACTCACCCAGTCACTCACTCACTCACTCACCCAGTCACTCACTCACTCACTCACCCACTCACCCAGTCACTCACCCAGTCACTCATTCACTCACCCAGTCACTCACCCAGTCACTCACCCAGTCACTCACTCACTCACTCACTCACCCAGTCACTCACCCAGTCACTCACTCAGTCACTTAGTCACTCACCCAGTCACTCACTCACTCACTCACCCAGTCACTCACCCAGTCACTCACCCAGTCACTCACCCAATCACTCACCCAGTCACTCACCCACTCACTCACTCACTCACCCAGTCACTCACCCAGTCACTCACCCAGTCACTCACTCACTCACTCACCACTCACTCACCCACTCACCCACTCACCCACTCACTCACCCACTCACTCACTCACCCACTCACTCACTCACGCACTCACTCACTCACCCACCCACCCACTCACCCACCCACCCACCCACTCACTCACTCACCCACTCACCCACTCACCCACTCACTCACTCACCCACCCACTCACGCACCCACTCACCCACTCACTCACTCACCCACCCACCCACCCACTCACTCACCCACTCACTCACCCACCCACCCACCCACCCACTCACTCACTCACCCACCCACCCACTCACCCACCCACCCACTCACTCACTCACCCACTCACCCACTCACCCACTCACTCACTCACCCACCCACTCACGTACCCACTCACCCACTCACCCACTCACTCACCCACCCACTCACCCACTCACTCACTCACCCACCCACTCACGCACCCACTCACCCACTCACCCACTCACCCACTCACTCACTCACCCACCCACTCACCCACTCACTCACCCACTCACCCACTCACCCACCCACTCACTCACCCAGTCACTCACCCAGTTACTCACTCAGTCACTCACTCACCCAGTCACTCACCCAGTCACTCACTCACTCACCCAATCACTCACCCAGTCACTCACCCAGTCACTCACCCAGTCACTCACCCACTCACTCACCCAGTCACTCACCCACTCACTCACCCAGTCACTCACCCAGTCACTCACTCACTCACCCAGTCACTCACCCAGTCACTCACTCACTCACTCACCCAGTCACTCACCCAGTCACTCACCCAGTCACTCACTCAGTCACTCACTCACCCAGTCACTCACCCAGTCACTCACTCACTCACTCACCCACTCACCCAGTCACTCACCCAGTCACTCACTCACTCACCCAGTCACTCACTCACTCACTCACCCACTCACCCAGTCACTCACCCAGTCACTCACCCAGTCACTCACCCAGTCACTCACCCAGTCACTCACCCAGTCACTCACTCACTCACTCACCCAGTCACTCACCCAGTCACTCACTCAGTCACTCAGTCACTCACCCAGTCACTCACTCACTCACTCACCCAGTCACTCACCCAGTCACTCACCCAGTCACTCACTCACTCACTCACCCAGTCACTCACCCAATCACTCACCCAGTCACTCACCCACTCACTCACTCACCCAGTCACTCACCCAGTCACTCACCCAGTCACTCACTCACTCACCACTCACTCACCCACTCACCCACTCACTCACCCACTCACTCACTCACCCACTCACTCACCCACTCACTCACTCACTCACCCACCCACCCACTCACCCACCCACCCACCCACTCACTCACTCACCCACTCACCCACTCACTCACTCACCCACCCACTCACGCACCCACTCACCCACTCACTCACTCACCCACCCACTCACCCACTCACTCACCCACTCACCCACTCACCCACTCACCCACCCACTCACTCACCCACTCACTCACCCACTCACTCACCCACCCACTCAATCACCCACCCACCCACCCACTCACTCACTCACCCACCCACCCACTCACCCACCGACCCACTCACTCACTCACCCACTCACCCACTCACTCACCCACCCACTCACGCACCCACTCACTCACTCACCCACCCACTCACCCACTCACTCACCCACTCACCCACTCACCCACCCACTCACTCACCCAGTCACTCACCCAGTCACTCACCCAGTCACTCACTCAGTCACTCACTCACCCTGTCACTCACCCAGTCACTCACTCACTCACTCACCCAGTCACTCACCCAGTCACTCACTCACTCACTCACCCAGTCACTCACCCAGTCACTCACTCACTCACCCAGTCACTCACTCACTCACTCACCCAGTCACTCACCCAGTCACTCAGTCACTCACCCAGTCACTCACTCACTCACTCACCCAGTCACTCACCCAGTCACTCACCCAGTCACTCACCCAGTCACTCACTCACTCACCCAGTCACTCACCCAATCACTCACCCAGTCACTCACCCACTCACTCACTCACCCAGTCACTCACCCAGTCACTCACCCAGTCACTCACTCACTCACTCACCACTCACTCACCCACTCACCCACTCACTCACTCACCCACTCACTCACCCACTCACTCACTCACTCACCCACCCACCCACCCACTCACCCACCCACCCACTCACTCACTCACCCACTCACCCACTCACCCACTCACCCACTCACTCACTCACTCACCCACTCACCCACTCACTCACTCACTCACCCACCCACTCACGCACCCACTCACCCACTCACCCACTCACTCACTCACCCACCCACTCACCCACTCACTCACCCACTCACCCACTCACCCACCCACTCACTCACCCACTCACTCACTCACTCACCCACTCACTCACTCACCCACTCACCCACTCACTCACTCACCCACTCACTCGCCCACTCACCCACCCACTCACTCACTCACCCACTCACCCACTCACCCACCCACCCACTCACCCCCCCCCCCCCCTGCAGGGCGCCTCCGGATGAGCCCCTCCCCCCTGGCCACCCGCTCGCCCGTCCCCCCTCCCTTTCGGCCCCTCCTCGGCCAATCACGGGGCTCGTCGCCGCCCCCCCCGCCGCCGAGGGGCGTGGCCAGAGCCCCCACCTCCATCCTGCGGAGGGACGCAGGGGGTCAGAGGTCGTCATTGGGGGGGGGTCAGAGGTCATCGCCGGGGGGTCTGAGGTCGTCGCCGGGGGGTCAGAGGTCGCCGTCGGGGGGTCAGAGTTCATCGTCGGCGATGGGGGGTGGGGTCGGATCCTCCCGGCTACCTAGGGTGGGGAAAAGGTGAAACATCAACAACAACAACATCAACAACATTAACAACAACATCAACATCAACAACAACATTAATAACATCAACAACAACAACATTAACAACATCAACACTAATAACATCAACAACAACATCATCAACAACAACATCAACAACAACAACATCAACAACAACAACATCATCATAAACATCTACAACAACAACATCAACAACAACATCAACAACATCAACAACATCATAAACATCAACAACATCAACATCAACAACAACATCAACAACAACATCAACAACAACATAAACATCAACAACATAAACATCTACAACATCAACAACAACATTAACAACAACAACATCAACAACATCAACAACATCATAAACATCAACAACATTAACAACATCAACATTAACAACAACAACATTAACAACAACATCAACAACAACATCAACAACAACATCAACAACAACAACATCAACAACAACATAAACAACATAAACAACATCAACAACATTAACAACATCAACAACATCAACAACATCAACAACAACATCAACAACAACAACATCAACATCATCAACAACAACAACATCAACAACAACATCAACAACAACATCAACAACAACAACATCATCATAAACATCTACAACATCAACAACAACAACAACATCAACAACAACATCAACAACATCAACAACATCATAAACATCAACAACATCAACATCAACAACAACAACAACATCAACAACAACATAAACATCAACAACATCAACAACATCATAAACATCAACAACATCAACATCAACAACAACAACAACATCAACAACAACATCAACAACAACATAAACATCTACAACATCAACAACAACATAAACATCTACAACATCAACAACAACATTAACAACAACAACATCAACAACATCAACAACATCATAAACATCAACAACAACAACATTAACAACATCAACATTAACAACATCAACATTAACAACAACATCAACAACAACATCAACAACAACAACAACATCAACAACAACATAAACAACATAAACAACATCAACAACATTAACAACATCAACAACATCAACATCAACAACATCAACAACATTAACAACATCAACAACAACATCAACAACATCAACAACATCAACAACATCATAAACATCTACAAGATTAACAACATTAACAACAACATTAACAACAACATCAACATTAACAACAACATCAACAACATTAACAACATCAACATCAACAACAACAACAACTACATCATCAACAACATTAACATTAACAACAACATCAACAACTACATCATCAACAACATTAACAACAACAACAACATCAACAACGACATCAACAACGTAAACATCTACAACATTAACAACATTAACAACAACAATAACATCTACAACATTAACAACATTATCAACAACAACATCTAACAACAACATCAACAATATTAACAACATTAACAACAACATCAACAACAACATCAACAACAACATCAACAACGTAAACATCTACAACATTAACAACATTAACAACACCATTAACAACAATATCAACATCAACAACAACATCAACAACAACATCAACAACGTAAACATCTACAACATTAACATCAACAACATTAACAACATCAACAACATCAACAATAACATCAACAACAACATCAACAACAACATCAACAACATCAACAACAACATCAACAACATTAACAACAGCATTAACAACATCAACAACAACATCAATAATAACATCAACAATAACATCAACAACATCAACAACAACATCAACAACATCAACAACAACAACATCAACAACAACATCAACAACAACTACATCGTCAACAACATTAACAACAACATTAACATTAACAACAACATCAACAACATTAACAACAACAGCATCAACAATAACATCAACAACAACATCTACAACATCACCAACAACAACATTAACAACAACATCAACAACATCAACAACAACAGCATCTACAACATCAACAACAACAACATTAACAACAACATCAACAACATAACAACATTAACAACAACATCAACAACAACAACATTAACAACAACATCAACAACATCAACAACATCAACAACAACATCAACAACGTAAACATCTACAACATTAACAACATTAACAACAACATTAACAACAATATCAACATCAACAACAACATCAACAACAACATCAACAACGTAAACATCTACAACATTAACATCAACAACATTAACAACATCAACAACATCAACAATAACATCAACAACAACATCAACAACATCAACAACAACATCAACAACATCAACAACAACATCAACAACATTAACAACAGCATTAACAACATCAACAACAACATCAATAATAACATCAACAATAACATCAACAACATCAACAACAACATCAACAACATCAACAACAACAACATCAACAACAACATCAACAACAACTACATCGTCAACAACATTAACAACAACATTAACATTAACAACAACATCAACAACATTAACAACAACAGCATCAACAATAACATCAACAACAACATCTACAACATCACCAACAACAACATTAACAACAACATCAACAACATCAACAACAGCATCTACAACATCAACAACAACATTAACAACAACATCAACAACATAACAACATTAACAACAACATCAACAACAACATTAACAACAACATCAACAACATCAACAACAACATTAACAACAGCATTAACAACATCAACAACAACATCAACAATGACATCAACAACATCTACAACATCAACAACATCAACAACAACATCTACAACAACATCAACAACATCAACAACATTAACAACAGCATTAACAACATCAACAACAACATCAACAATAACATCGACAACAACATCAACAACATCAACAACAACAACAACATCAACAACAACATTAACAACATTAACATCAACAACAACATTAACAACATTAACATCAACAACATTAACATCAACATCAACAACATTAACAACAGCATCAACAACATCAACAATAACAACATCAACTTTAACAACAACATCAACAACATCAGCACCATCTTCAACATCAACAACATGAACATCATCACCATCAACATCATCAACAACATTAACAACATTAACAACACCACCACCACCATCATCATCACCACCATCAACACCACCATCAACACCACCATCACCACCACCATCACCACCATCATCACCATCACCACCACCATCACCACCATCATCACCACCACCATCACCACCATCACCACCACCATCACCATCACCACCACCATCATCACCATCACCACCACCATCACCACCATCACCACCATCACCACCACCACCATCACCACCATCATCATCATCACCACCACCATCATCACCACCATCACCACCCCGCCCCTCACACCCCAAACCCCGCCCCTCACACCCAAACCCCGCCCCTCACACCCCAAACCCCGCCCCTTACACCCAAACCCCGCCCCTCACACCCCCACCCCAAACCCCGCCCCTCACACTACAAACCCCGCCCCTTACACCCCAAAACCACGCCCCTCACACCTCAAACCCGCCCCTCACCCCCTAAACCCCGCCCCTCACATCCAAACCCCGCCCCTCACATCCAAACCCCGCCCCTCACACCCAAACCCCACCCCTCACACCCCAAACCCCGCCCCTCACACCCCAAACCCCGCCCCTCACACCCCAAACCCCGCCCCTCACACCCCAAACCCCGCCCATCACACCCCAAACCCCGCCCCTCACACCCCAAACCCCGCCCCTCACACCCCAACCCCGCCCCTCACACCCCAAACCCCGCCCCTCACACCCCAAACCCCCGCCCCTCACACTCCAAACCCGCCCCTCACACTCCAAACCCGCCCCTCACACCCCAAACCCCGCCCCTCACACCCCAAACCCCGCCCCTCACACCCCAAACCCGCCCCTCACACCCCAAACCCCGCCCCTCACACCCCCACCCCTCACCCCAAACCCCGCCCCTCACACTACAAACCCCGCCCCTCACATCCCCAAACCACGCCCCTAACACCCAAACCACGCCCTTCATCCCCCAATCCCCGCCCCTCACACCCCAAACCACGCCCCTCACCCCCCCAAACCCCGCCCCTCACTCTCCAATCCCCAGGTCTCTACCAATCGGCAATCCCGCAGTGGGCCAAAGCGACCAATGGCGGGACGGCTGCTACTGAGGGCTCCGCCCACCCACCCTTCGTCTCGACCAATGGGGATCGCTCGCGTGTCCGCGTGGCGGCCATGATGGGCCTGTAGGTTTGATTGTTCCGTCTTAAACTATCATTCGTCAACAAGGCCCGATCATTTTTTAACAATAAAATAAACTTTTTAATCTTCTTTTGTTTACGCGATTAACAAAAATATTTCCTTTGTTTACGATGTTATTAATGTTACATTTTTTTCCACATTTTTTGGCTGACGATATTTTTTTTTGTTATTTAACGTTATTTGTAAATCTTTGGTTCACGATATTTTTACATTTCAAAATTTTAAATTTCTTTTGTTTACGAGATTTAAAAAGTATTCTTTTATTTCCGATTTTTTTGAATGTTTAAAAATGTTAATACTTTTTTTTTTGCTCACGATATTTTGTATTTAAAATGTTTTCGGTAATTTGGTTTCCGATTTATTTTTGTGTTAAATTAGTATTTTGTTTACGATAGTTTTAAAGTTTTTAATGTTTTATAATTATTTTGCTTACGATATTGTTTTATTAATCAATGTTGTTATTAGTTACTGATATTTTTTCATGTTTTAATTTTTAAAATAATTTTGTTTACGAAATTTTAGAATAATTTATTCATAAAAAAATGTTTTATTCACATTTTTGTTATTCTTAGAATTATTTGGTTATCGATATTTTTAATTATTATTTTGTTTACCATATTTGTTATTCTCATAATTGTTTTATGTTCGATATTTTTTTCACGTTTGAATTCCTTGTTATTCTTTCGTTTGCGATATTTTGTACCCTAAATAATGATTTTGCTTAACGATATTTTTGCTAACAAAAAAAACCGTGTGTTTACCATGGTTTTCCTTTAACGTTTGATTGTTGGTTTTTTTTTGCAATGATTTTGTTTACGACGCTCGTCACCATTTTCCCGTGCTCGGTTTTCACTGTTTTGGGTGAGGGCGGTGCTGGGGTTGACGGTCCATCGCCGGATGGGGTAACCACACTGGATGGGGGGGGGTCATCGACAGTGGACGAGTCCATCTCAGTGGGGGGGGGGGGGGTCAGGTCATTCACAGTGGACGAGTCCATCTCAGTAGGGGGGGGGGGGGGGTCATTCACAGTGGACGAGTCCATCTCAGGGCGGGTTAGGTCATCCACAGTGGACGAGTCCATCTCAGGGGGGGGGGGGGGGGTTAGGTCATCGACAGTGGACGAATCCATCGCGGGGGGGGGGGGGGTCAGGTCAACCACAGTGGACGAGTCCATCTCAGTGGGGAGGGGGGGTTTAGGTCATTCACAGTGGACGAGTCCATCTCAGGGGGGGGGGGGGGGGTTAGGTCATTCACAGTGGACGAGTCCATCTCAGTGGGGAGGGGGGGTTTAGGTCATTCACAGTGGACGAGTCCATCTCAGGGGGGGGGTTAGGTCATTCACAGTGGACGAGTCCATCTCAGTGGGGGGGGGTGGGGGGGTTAGGTCATTCACAGTGGACGAGTCCATCTCAGTGGGGAGGGGGGGTTAGGTCATTCACAGTGGACGAGTCCATCTCAGTGGGGAGAGGGGTGGGCATTCACAGTGGACGAGTCCATCTCGGGGGGGTTTAGGTCATCCACAGTGGACGAGTCCATCTCAGTGGGGGGGGGGGGGGGGGGGTCAGGTCATTCACAGTGGACGAGCCCATCTCAGTGGGGAGGTGGGGGGGGGTTAGGGCATTCACAGTGGACGAGTCCATCTCAGTGGGGAGGGGGGGGGGTTTAGGTCATCTACAGTGGACGAGCCCATCTCGGGGGGGGGGGGTCATCCACAGTGGACGAGTCCATCTCAGTGGGGGGGGGGGGGGGGTTAGGGCATTCACAGTGGACGAGTCCATCTCAGTGGGGAGGGAGGGTTTAGGTCATCTACAGTGGACGAGCCCATCTCGGGGGGGGGTCATCCTCAGTGGACGAGTCCATCTCAGTGGGGGGAGGGGGGTGTTAGGTTCAGTAGTGATGGTGATGCTGGTTGTCGTTGTTGTTGGTAAGTGGATGGTGGTGCCCGTTGTTTCTGTGCCAAGTGGCGATGCCGTTTGTAATTTTATTTTGTCTAAACTCTCTCGCCCTCACGGTGACGTTTCGCATTAAAGCCGCCGCCTGCATTCCCTCCCGCCTTGCGGCCTGTAACCCGGTGGCGGTAGTGACGTCATCGCGCCGAGTGACGTCACCGGCGGCCTCCCTCGCGTGACATCACGCAGCACCGCAGCGTCACGCGCCCGGTAACGAAGCGGCGGTAGTGACGTCACGCGCCCGGTAACAACAACGGCGGCGGTCGGAGGCCCGGATGAGGTCCGCGACCCCTACCACCAGTGATGACGTCGCACCGCTACCAATGACGCCATCCACCACCGAGGATGACGTCATTCAGTTTTTTTCGGTTTAATTTATTTTGGTATAAGCCCTGTGATGGGCCATTCAGCTCTTGAATCGGCTGCAAACGCAACAAACTAAAAACTCGACCAAGAAAGAAAACATCTTAAAGTGACTGTGTGACCGCACAAACAAAAAATAATTTGCAACGTAATAGTGGTCATGGGGACTGTGACCGAATTTTTTATTTTTTACAGTAAATTACAAAAACAACGTGCACCATCAAAAGTCACTCCACAACAACAGAAGCATCAGTCGGGAGCATCAAATTATCACCCCCCCCCCACCACCGAAGGAAAACGTTACGTCACCACCGAGGATGACGTCATTCCGTCACCAAGGGTAGCGTCACCCCACGACCTAGGATGACGTCGTTCCATCACCAAGGGTAGCGTCACCCCACGACCTAGGATGACGTCGTTCCATCACCAAGGGTAGCGTCACCCCACGACCTAGGATGACGTCGTTCCATCACCAAGGGTAGCGTCACCCCACGACCTAGGATGACGTCATTCCACCACCAATGATGACGTCGAACCACCAAGGGGACTTCATTCCATCCCTCACCACCACCAAGGATAACATCACCACGACCAAGAATGACAACGCACCACCAAAGATGACGTCACCTCACTACCAAGGATGACGTTTTCCCACCACCACCAAAGATGACGTCACCCCACCAAGGATGACGTGCCCCACCACCGAGGATGACGTCACCCACCACCAAGGATGACGTCACCCACCACCAAGGATGACGTGCCCCACCACCAATGATGACGTCTTCCCACCACCACGGATGACGTCATCTATCACCACCAAGGATGACGGCACTCACCACCACCAAGGATGACGTCACCCACCACCATATATGACGTCTTCCCACTACCACCGCCAAGGATGACGTCCATCACCACCAAGGATGACGTCACTCACCACCACCAAGGATGACGTCACCCACCACCATATATAACGCCTCCCACCGAGGATGACGTCACCCACCACCGAGGATGACGTCACCCACCACCATATACGACGTCACCCACTACCACCAAGGATGGCGTCACCCACCACCACCGAGGATGACGTCACCCACCACCACCGAGGATGACGTCATCCACTACCAAGGATGACGTCACCCACCACGTATATGACGTCACCTCCCCCCCCCACCACCATCAAGGGCGGCCGCCATTGCTGAGTTCTGTGCTGGCGACTTGAGGATCAGCGAGCGAAGCTCCTCATTACAACAACAACAACAACAACTACAACAACAACAACCTCCTTATTACCACAACAACAACAGCAGCAGCAGCAGGCGCAGCGACAACCAGACAGCCGTCCGATAGCAGCGGCAGCGAGGAGGAGGCTCAGGCTGAGGAGGAGGCTGAGGAGGAGGCTGAGGAGGAGGAGGAGGCTGTCCGCCCGCGTCCGTCATGGAGTCGGGCTCAAGCGCTCGCTACCAGGCCGTGAGGAGACCCACAACACTTTAACATTGTTTATTATTGTTTATTATTACATCATTGTCATCGTTAGTATCATCATCATCATCATAGTAGTTGTTGTGGCTATGTGGTGCTGTGTGGTTGTGTACTAGGTGGTGAGTGAATGTGTGTACACTACCAGGACGTGAGGAGACCCACAACACTTTAACATTGTTTATTATTACATCATTGTCATCGTTAGTATCATCATCATAGTAGTAGTTGTGGCTATGTGCTGCTGCTATGGTTGTGTACTAGGTGGTGAGTGAATGTGTGTACACTACCAGGACGTGAGGAGACTCCCTCAACACTTTAACATTGTTTATTATTGTTGTTTATTATTACATCATTGTCATCATTAGTATCATCATCATAGTAGTAGTTGTTGTGGCTATGTGCTGCTGCTGTGGTTGTGTACTAGGCGGTGAGTGAATGTGTGTACACTACCAGGACGTGAGGAGACTCCCACAACACTTTAACATTGTTTATTATTACATCATTGTCATCGTTAGTATCATCATCATCATCATAGTAGTTGTTGTGGCTATGTGCTGCTGTGTGGTTGTGTACTAGGCGGTGAGTGAATGTGTGTAAACTACCAGGACGTGAGGAGACTCCCTCAACACTTTAACATTGTTTATTATTGTTTAGTATTACATCATCGTCATCGTTAGTATCATCATCATCATAGTAGTTGTTGTGGCTATGTGTTGCTGTGTGGTTGTGTACTAGGTGGTGAGTGAATGTGTGTACACTACCATGCCGTGAGGAGACTCCCACAACACTTGAACATTGTTATTATTGTTTATTATTACATCATTGTCATCGTTAGTATCATCATCATCATAGTTGTTGTTGTGGCTATGTGCTGCTGTGTGGTTGTGTACTAGGTGGTGAGTGAATGTGTGTACACTACCAGGACGTGAGGAGACCCACAACACTTTAACATTGTTTATTATTACATCATTGTCATCGTTAGTATCATCATCATCATAGTAGTTGTTGTGGCTATGTGGTGCTGTGTGGTTGTGTACTAGGCAGTGAGTGAATGTGTGTACACTACCAGGACGTGAGGAGACTCCCACAACACTTTAACATTGTTTATTATTGTTTATTATTACATCATTGTCATCGTTAGTATCATCATCATCATAGTTGTTGTTGTGGCTATGTGCTGTTGCTGTGTGGTTGTGTACTAGGCGGTGAGTGAATGTGTGTACACTACCAGGAGGTGAGGAGACTCCCACAACACTTGAACATTGTTATTATTGTTTATTATTACATCATTGTCATCGTTAGTATCATCATCATCATCATCATAGTTGTTGTTGTGGCTATGTGCTGCTGTGTGGTTGTGTACTAGGTGGTGAGTGAATGTGTGTACACTACCAGGAGGTGAGGAGACCCACAACACTTTAACATTGTTTATTATTGTTTATTATTACATCATTGTCATCGTTAGTATCATCATCATAGTTGTTGTTGTGGCTATGTGCTGCTGTGTGGTTGTGTACTAGGCGGTGAGTGAATGTGTGTACACTACCAGGACGTGAGGAGACCCACAACACTTTAACATTGTTTATTATTACATCATTGTCATCGTTAGTATCATCATCATCATAGTAGTTGTTGTGGCTATGTGCTGCTGTGTGGTTGTGTACTAGGTGGTGAGTGAATGTGTGTACACTACCAGGACGTGAGGAGACTCCCTCAACACTTTAACATTGTTTATTATTACATCATTGTCATCGTTAGTATCATCATCATCATAGTAGTTGTTGTGGCTATGTGGTGCTGTGTGGTTGTGTACTAGGCGGTGAGTGAATGTGTGTACACTACCAGGACGTGAGGAGACTCCCTCAACACTTTAACATTGTTTATTATTGTTTATTATTACATCATTGTCATCGTTAGTATCATCATCATCATAGTTGTTGTTGTGGCTATGTGGTGCTGTGTGGTTGTGTACTAGGTGGTGAGTGAATGTGTGTACACTACCAGGACGTGAGGAGACTCCCTCAACACTTAGAATGTATATATTATTTACAATGTTTATTACATCGTTATCATTCGTATTCATCAGACGGCTCCAGCCACAGTACTAGTATACTACACTATACACTACACTATACACTAGTGTACTAGTATACTACACTATATACTAGTGCTGTACTAGTATACTACACTATACACTACACTATACACTAGTGCTGTACTAGTATATTACACTATACACTACACTATACACTAGTGCTGTACTAGTATACTACACTATACACTACACTATACACTACACTATACACTAGTGCTGTACTAGTATATTACACAATACACTACACTATACACTAGTGTACTAGTATACTACACTACACGAGTGCTGTACTAGTATACTACACTATACACTACACTATACAATACACTTTACAATACACTATACAATACACTAGTGTTCTAGAATACTACACTATACACTAGTGTACTAGTATACTAGTACACTATACACTAGTGTACAAGTATACTACACTATACACTAGTGCTGTACTAGTATGCTACACTATACACTACACTATACACTAGTGCTGTACTAGTATACTACACTATACACTACACTACACACTAGTCCTGTACTAGTATACACTATACACTAGTGCTGTACTACTATACTACACTACACACCACTATACACTAGTGCTGTACTAGTATACTACACTATACACTAGTGCTGTACTAGTATACTACACTATACACTACACTATACACTACACTACACACTAGTGCTGTACTAGTATACTACACTATACACTACACTACACACTAGTGCTATACTAGTATACTACACACGCACGTGTGTGTGTGTGGTAGTTGAACCGTGCGCTGTGATGTATTGTGCATGGCGGCGTGACATTGTGTATGCAACATTGATCATCGTCATCATCATCACCAGCAGCAGCATCGTCACAACCATTACCGCCACTCTCGCCAACGTACCCACCGTCGCTGATACAGTCGCCATCACCGGGACCATCGTCGTTTAGATCGAGTTGTGTATAAACGTGTCGTAACCCTCCACCACCCGGCACGGCCAGTCGTCGGCATCAAAGTTGTCACGTTGACAAAAAAGACGAATTGGTTCGCTACTTTAGCCCCCGCACAGGTGTGTTGTTGAAGAGTGAATCCACAACATTTACGGTTTGCGATTTGAAGCTTTCGTGAATGCAAGGGGTTCATCTTGTTTGGTTGCTTCGGTGAAGTCACCACCGCCTAGAATGAGATCAAAATAATGAATTGATGAAATAAAGCAACAACAATGATATTCTCACGACGTTTCGGCCACAACACAAGCGGCCTTCATCAGGTGAATGGACGAGACTGTCTGGTAGGACAGCGCTTGTGTTGTGGCCGAAACGCCGTGAGAATATCATTGTTGTTATTTTATTTTATCGATTTATGATTGTATTCTCATTTTACGCGGTGGTGACTTTATCGAAAGAATCAAAGAAGATGAAAACATTTACAGCCTTGAGTAGTGTGACGTTTTCGCTGGCAATTGCATCCAGCATCATCGGTGATTTCATCCAGCGCCATCGGTGATTTCATCCAGCGTCATCGGTGATTTCATCCAGCGTCATCGGTGATTTCATCCAGCGCCATCGGTGATTTCATCCAGCATCATCGATGATTTCATCCAGCGCCATCGGTGATTTCATCCAGCACCATCGATGATTTCATCCAGCGCCATCGATGATTTCATCCAGCATCATCGGTGATTTCATCCAGCATCATCGGTGATTTCATCCAGCGCCATCGATGATTTCATCCAGCGTCATCGGTGATTTCATCCAGCGCCATCGGTAATTTCATCCAGCGCCATCGGTGATTTCATCCAGCATCATCGGTGATTTCATCCAGCATCATCGGTGATTTCATCCAGCATCATCGATGATTTCATCCAGCGCCATCGGTGATTTCATCCAGCGTCATCGGTAAATTCCTAATTTCATTATCATAATCGGCTCGTGACATCACTACAGTAGCGCGGCCTTTATCAGCTGCCAGGATTTGGATATCTTTATTTGCACGGAGCTCTCTTAAGGCTTTTGCTTCTTTGGAACTGATATTTACTTTTGGAAGCTTTGCTATTCTCAGTTATTTTGGCAACCTCATGCCTATAGTCATCTCTTGCCTCATTATGTGGGAAGGAGTCTTACCGCTGATTCCACCTCGACAATTGTCTCATCCACCGGAATTGTGCGTGGGGTCACGGCAAAGTCAAGGCCTTTAACTTTGCCGTTCTGATAGCTGTAGGCTTAGTGCGGCTTGGAAGCGTATTATTAAATAATACTTAGTACAATTCCTTATAGGGGAAGCACATGTTTATTAACGGATTACTAACGTAGCATATAATCACAATAACACACATTACTACTAATTGCTAATCTACAACTCATTACTAATCATAACCATTGACTGATCACCAATCGATTATATAATCGCTGCACCTGAAATGAGTTCAATGATGACGTCACCCTGCTGCTCTATATAAGTCCGGGAGCAAGTGAGGGCTTCACCATTCTGGCGAATTGCCCGATGATGCTGGATGTAATTACCAGCGGAACGTCGTATTCAGACTGTAAATGTTGTGGATTCACTCTTTAACACACCTGTGTGGGGGCTAAAGTAGTGAACTATTTTGTCTTTTGTCAACGTGACACTTTTTTTGCTGATTGGCCGTGTCGGGTGGTGGAGGGTTACGACACATTTATAAATAACGCGATCCACCCCACAAAAACCTGTATTATGAATAATATCGGTCGCGAAAGCCTACGTGTTAAACATCACCATCATCTCCACCGCCGCTATCACCATCACCACCGCTAACTTCACCACCACCACCCCCCCCACCATTATCTGTACCACCACCTCCATCACCATCATCTCCACCACCACCGTTCACCTCCATCACCATCATCTCCACCACCATTTATCACCACCACCATCTCCACCACCACTATCTGTACCACCATCACCATCTCCACCACCACTGTCTGTACCACCATCTCCACCACCACCAATCTGTACCACCATCTCCACCATCACTATCACCATCTGTACCATCATCACCACTATCACCATCTGTACCATCATCTCCACCACCACCATCACCGTCTGTACCATCATCTTCACTATCTGTACCATCATCTCCACCACCACTATCACCGTCTGTACCATCATCACCACCACCACCACCACTATCACCATCTGTACCATCACCACCACCACTATCACCATCTGTACCATCATAACCACCACTATCACCATCTGTACCATCATCACCACCACTATCTGTACCACCATCACCACCATCTGTACCACCATCACCACCATCTGTACCATCATCTCCACCACCACTATCTGTACCACCATCACCATCTCCACCACCACCAATCTGTACCACCATCTCCGCCACCACTATCACTATCTGTACCATCATCTCCACCACGACTATCTGTACCATCATCACCACCACCACTATCACCATCTGTACCATCATCTCGACCACCACTATCTGTACCATCATCTCCACCACCACCATCTGTATCACCACCATCACCATCTGTACCACCATCACCACCACCACTATCACCATCTGTACCACCATCTCCACTATCATCATCTGTACCACCATCTCCACTATCACCATCTGTACCACCATCACCACCACTATCACCGTCTGTACCATCATCTCCACCACTACTATCTGTACCATCACCACCACCACTATCTGTATCACCACCACTACTATCTGTACCACCATCACCACCATCTGTACCACCACCACTATCTGTACCACCATCACCACCACTACTATCTGTACCACCATCACCACCACTACTATCTGTACCACCACCATTATCACCATCTGTACCACCATCACCACCACTACTATCTGTACCACCATCACCACCACCACTATCTGTATCACCACCACTATCACCATCTGTACCACCATCACCACCATCTGTACCACCATCTCCACCACCACTATCTGTATCACCACCACCACTACTATCTGTACCACCATCACCACCACTACTATCTGTACCACCATCACCACCATCTGTACCACCATCACCACCACTACTATCTGTACCACCACCACCACCACTACTATCTGTATCACCACCACTACTATCTGTACCACCATCACCACCACTATCACCATCTGTACCACCACCACCACTCACCCCCCCCCACCCTTCTCCCCCCCCTCCCCCACCCCTCCCCCACCCCCCCCCCCCCCACCCCCCACAGTTGCAGACAGAGGAGGAGGAGGTGGGGGGCCCGGCCCCTCCTCCCTACAGTGCGGCGGTTGGGGGCTCTGGGGGTGTCTGCGGAGGGGGCGGGGCCTTCCTGCCCCCCCCCCAGCTCCTCCTGGGGCCCCCCTCCCCCCTTGTGCCCCCCTCCCCCGCTCCCTTGGCCCCGCCCCCCCTGCAGGGCGGAGCCGCCAATCCGCCGGCCTACAGCGTGGCCACCAGCCTGCCCTCGTATGACGAGGCCGAGAAGAGCAAAGCCGGTGGGCCCGCCGGCGGCCTCGGCGGTGGCAGCAGTGGGGGGGTGGTGGTGGGTGGGGGGGTGGTGGGCGGGGGGGTGGGCGGGGGGGTCGGCGTGGGGACAGCGGCAGAGCGGGTGAGTGGGGGGTGGTGGTGGTGATGGAGGGGCCGGTGGTGGTGGTGATGGTGGTGATGGAGGGGCCGGTGGTGGTGGTGATGGTGGTGATGGAGGGGCCGGTGGTGGTGGTGATGGTGGTGATGGAGGGGCTGGTGGTGATGGTGGTGATGGTGGGGCCGGTGGTGGTGGTGATGGTGGTGATGGTGGTGATGGTGGTGGTGATGGTGGTGGTGATGGTGGTGGTGGTGGTGGTGATGGTGGTGATGGTGGTGATGGAGGGGCCGGTGGTGGTGGTGGTGATGGTGGTGATGGAGGGGCCGGTGGTGGTGGTGGTGGTGATGGAGGGGCCAGTGGTGGTGGTGGTGGTGATGGAGGGGCCGGTGGTGGTGGTGGTGGTGGCGGCGAGGGCGGCGGTGGTGGCGGTGGCTCCGGCAGTCCGGTAAAAACGGCCCCCCTAGCTCCTCGTGGTGCCGGACGGCAACGCTGTGGTGGGCAGTGCCGTGGGAGGAGGGACAATTCCGGATTGGTGGCCTTTCCCCTCATGGCGTGTTTAACCACCACCACAGCGGCTAAACGGGGGCTCTGGACGGGTGCGAGGGGCTGGTAACCCCTCCACCTTCAATTAATTACCACGAAACCACGACTGAAAAATGTAATGAGTAAGCCGGAGTCCCCGGGGGGGCCAGGCGTCTATGACGTCTCCTGGCCAAACCCCAATTGGCGGAGCCAGGAGATTGAATCTCTACCCTCGGGGCTCCTCCAGAAACAACGAAAAGCCACTGAGGGTGGCCACGTGGAATGTTCGAGCGCTCACTGCGGAGGAGAGGCTGCCCACACCTCTGTCGGGAGCTGGACCGGTACCGCCTGGATCTCTGCGGCATTCAGGAGGTCTGGTGGACCGGCTCTGGCTCCTGCCAACATGAGGGGGTGGACAGTCCTCTACTCGGGGCAGCAGACTACCAAATATCAGGGAGTGGCTCATCTGAACAAAAGAATGAAGGGGGCGTGGGAGCGTGGCGGTAAGCCCCAGATTACTTTTTGGCTCGCCTTCCCATCAACCGGAGGTGAGGAGTTGTGGTCGTGGTTACTTATGCCCCCACCGAAGACGAACATCCATGGAGGGATGCAGACAAGGCCGATGAGTCAGATGCCTTCTATGACCTCCTGTCACAGGTGCTGGCTAAAGTGGCCCCTCGGGATAGAGTCATCATGTTGGGTGACTTCAATGCCCGAGTTGGTCATGATGCTGGCACCTGGTCTGGAGTGATTGGAGGGCATGGGCCAGATCAGCTCAATAACAACGGTAGTAGACTGCTAGACTTTTGTGCAGCCCATGGGCTTGTTATTACCAACACGCTGTTCCGGCATCGGCGCATCCACACAACATTATGGATGCATGCCGGGTCCAAGCAAGAACATCTGCTGGACTACATAGTGACGGACCAGCGGATGCGAGCCCATGTCCTTGACACCAGGACCTCCCGTGGAGCTGATCTGCCCTCTGACCATCGACTTGTCATCTGTAAGATGCGCCTGCCATTCTTCCACTCCGGTGGTGGGTGTGCACCCAGGACCCCATTCACACCTAAGGTGGCCTGGTCTCAGCTCGCTGATGAAAGTGGCTGGGGTTGGCATCGTCCCCCACTCCTCCAGATGTCAAGGGGAAATGGGACGAGGTTTAGGACTGTGACTCATGCAGCTGCAATGGCTGCTTTAGGTACGCGGTCCAGACCTCCCCAGAGACCCTGGCTGACAGAGGAGGTGTTCAGGATGGTTGAGAAAAAGCGACAGGCCCACTGTCATCGGCTACAGAATCCCACGTCAGAGAATGAGGAGGCTTACCGCAGCCTTCGCTCGGAGGTTCGGAGAGCCGTGAGGCGCTGCAAGGATGGGTGGTGGTTGCGGGTTGCTGAGGAGATGGAGTCTGCCTCAGTGGCCCGCGATCACAAATCTCTATTTAACTCCATGAAAAAAGTAACCTGCAGCGCCACACCTATTACCATAATTAGGGGGAAAAACGGTGATCCAATCTCCGACCTCCAGGAACAGGTTTGCAGATTTGCTGAGCATTTCTGTGAAGTCCTGGGGGAGGGGAAATCTCTCTGCATGGAAAACATCGTGGGACAAAGTGAGGATGACCCTGCTGAGGCTGCAGTGCCTCAAATATTGGAAAAAGTCACCCCCTGTGAGTGGCTGGCTGAGGTGCCATCTGTTGAGGAAGTACTAAAGGCGATCCAGAGTCTGAGACCAGGAAAGGCACCGGGTAGAGATGATCTCCCAAGCGAAATGCTGAGGGCGGGTGGCGTTTGTGCACAGACTGCCCTATATGACATCATAACAACAGCCTGGACCATTGGACAGGTTCCGCAGGATTGGAAGGATGCCCTGGTGGTCCCCCTCTTTAAGAAGGGGGACCGCACAGACTGTAACAACTACAGGGGCATCTCACTCCTCAGTGTGCCGGGAAAGGTCCTGGCAGGGATTATTCAACATCGCCTTGCCAGGCACGCTGAGGCTGAGGTTTGTGGAGCCCCAATGCAGTTTCAGGAAAGGGCGGTCCTGCACAGATTCCATATTTTCTGTCCGTCTGCTACAGCAGAGGTGTAGGGAATTCCAACAAGACCTACATCTCTGTTTTATTGACCTATGATGCCATCAGTAGGCCTGGGCTTCTGGGTTGTTCTTCGTGCTTTCGGAGTCCCTGACCCTCTGCTCACGATCATTAAGGACCTTCATGATGGTGAGCGGGCCCGGGTAAAACTTCGTGGCTGGGAGTCGGAGCCATTCCCTGTACACCTTGGGGTGCGACAGGGATGTCCTCTGGCTCCCACATTATTTAACATCTATTTCGACCATGTAGTTCGTAAAGCCTTCAGTAGCTGTACCGGATGAATTTCCATCTGGTACAGATACAATGGGAGGTTGATCGATGCCCGGGTGCAGTCAAGGGATGGCTCCCTATTGGTCAACCACGTTATGTATGCCGATGATCTGGTAATTGCTGCTCACTCAGAGGCGTTGGAGGCGCTGCTGCTGAACCTGGAGCGTGCCACTAAGAGGTGGGGCCTTACCATCAGCCCCACCAAAACTAAGCACCTGCCTGGGTATTTTGTACCATCGGACATTCCACCCCCACAACTCCCAATTGGTGATGGGGTAGTTGTGGAGAGAGTGCAGAGTTTCCCATACCTGGGAAGTGTGCTTATGACCGGCTCCAGTTTAACAGCAGAGGTCTCACTCCAAATCAGTCGAGCGGCAATATCTTTTCATCGGTTGCGTAACGCTGTGTGGAAGCTACCTGGTCTTTTGCTCTGCACTAAGCTTCAGGTCTTCTCGGCCACGGTCATTCCCTTCCTTCTCTACGCTTGCGAAACGTGGACCCCCCTAATGGAACATCTTTGCCGGTTAGAAACATTTAGGCTGGCCTGCCTACGATCCATCCTGGGTTTAACCAGGCTGGATTGTGTGAGGAGCTCACAAATCATTGAAAGATCTGGACAAAGTCCCATCGGTGAGCTCCTCCTGCAGGCAAGGCTGCGTTGGCTGGGTCATGTAGACTGCATGCCCAGCCACCACATGCCGAAACAGCTTTTGTTCGGCCGGATCGAGGGGGCTAAACGGGCGCGACTCGGGCTAGAGAAGAGATGGAGTGATGTGGTACAGGAGGACGTGGAGCTGAGTGGATTTGCCGATGACCGGTACCAGCGGTGTCAAGATCGGCCTCTGTGGAGGAGGCTCGTGAAGGACGCTACTGGGCAGTTGGAGGCAGTCGCCCTCCAACAACGGAGGGCGGAGGATTGACGCTCACAACAACGAGCGGAGCGCCGGGTGGCTAAAGCACAGCAGGTTGGCACAGTAGGGGGCACAGGTGGTGCATCAGCCACTCATCTCATTCACCTGGGTCTGCCCCGTGACCTCCTGCCAGCGGGCGTTCGAAACTTCACGTGGCCTCAGGGTGCACATAGCCTGGCACAAGCGTCATGGTGACGTCACCGCCACTTAGTGGCGAATTGCGGTTGTTGTTGGTGGTGGTGGTGGCGGCGGTGGTGGCTGTGGTGGTGGTGGTGGCACCGGTGGTGGTTGTGAATAAGGGGGGTAGAGGAGAAAGCTCCCCCAGGTAGCCTCTAACACGATGTAGGGGCAAGTGCTGTCAGTAGCAGCAGTGTCTATGAAGGCTACCGGCACTGTGACACAGACACAGACAAAGCTCCCCCAGGTAGCCTCTAACACGATGTAGGGGCAAGTGCTGTCAGTAGCAGCAGCAGCAGCAGTGTCTATGAAGGCTACCGGCACTGTGAAACACACAGACAAAGTTACCCCAGGTAGCCTCTACACACACACATAGGGGCTGTAGGGGCAAGTGCTGATAGTGAGCTGTAGTAGTTATGAAGACGCACAGCTAAAGGTTCCCCAGGTAGCCTCTACACTCACACATGGGGGGCTGTAGGGGCAAGTGCTGCTTGCGAGCTGTAGCAGTGATGAAGACACACAGCTAAAGGTCCCCCAGGTAGCCTCTACACACAGGGGCTGTAGGGGCAAGTGCTGATAGCGAGCTGTAGTAGTTATGAAGATGACGCTGATGCCGCTGATGTCGCTGCTGATGATCAGGATGATGATTTCTCTCCGCGGGAGGATTTTGACGACGCTGATCAGTTGAGGATCGGGAATGACGGCATCTTCATGGTCAGCTTCTTCAGTGAGTGACGCGCCTTGCTCACACTCGCTCACACTCGCTCACACTCGCTTACGCTCACACTCGCTCGCACACACTCGCTCACACTCGCTCACACTCACTCGCTCACGCTCGCTCACACTCACTCACACTCGCCCACGCTCACGCTCGCTCACTCACTTGCACCCTCACTCACTCACACTCACACTCACTTACACTCACGCTCTTACTCTCACTCACTTACTCTCACGGTCACTCACGCCCGCTCACGCTCACTCACGCTCACTCATGCTCACTCATGCTCACACACACACACTCGCTCACACACTCTCACACACTCGCTCACTCACACTCGCTCACTCACACACGCTCGCTCACACACTCTCACACACTCGCTCACTCACACTCGCTCACTCACAC